ATTCATATATAAAAGCAAAGTCATACAAACTACAACAAGTAAATAAATTTATCTCTAATTTCTTCCCAAGCAAACTCCTCGAAGTTCCTCTGAATCTCTTACTTTCTTTACAGCACACAGAATTCCTCTTCGAAGGGGCAAGGAGGAAGAAATCTCTCACTTTGCCTCCACTCTTATAATCTCTCGAAGAATTCCTCACAAATTAGACTCTCTAGCAAACTCTCTGCACACTAATGGAACCTTTCTAGACCTCCAGGATACTCTATTTTTGGCCAAAGTCTTCTCTTTAAAGATGTGGATGAGTTTTCCCAAGAGTTGCCTAAGCATCCCTCCAAAAATCATCCTCATTAAATGCATTGTTGGACATAACCGTCGATCTCGCCGTCGGCGGCCTCGAGGGCGCCGTCGGCGGGCTTTCTAAATCATTAAATCTGGAGTCTCAAGAATTTCTCGTCGTCGGCGCCGTTGGGCTCGTCGCCGGCGCCCTAGTTCAAATTTTTTGCTCCAAATTCGCTTATTTTTGCATTTTTTTGCTCCAATGACCCTAATTCATCATTTCTGCAACAAAACATAAAAAACACCTTTCTTTAAAGTGCAATATCATCCACCTTTCTTTAAAGTGCAACACCTTTCTTTAAAGTGCAATATCATCAAAAACAGTGTAAAATAAGTATGAAAATCTCAACATATTTTCCTTTGGTCAGAGAGTATGTCATCCATGGGATTGGGTGCAAATAAAACCCTATTCTTTCTAAATTTTAAATTGTTGAATGTAGAACTAGAGATTTTAAGGCGACGGATTAAAATTCACAATTTGGTCCAGTTGATTGGAAACTGGTGCGAGATTGTTAGCCCTCAGGGGAGGGAGTAGTGGGAGCTCTGGCAGAGATCAAACTCTAGATTAACCAATGTTCTTTATAACACTTGGAAAAGAGTAAATAATATGATTGCTCATATTTGGCACAAAACAGTTTTTATATATATTTTTTCAAATAATTTCAATTTCTTCACAATCCATATACTCATTGTAAAGAGGAATGATGCTTACTTAAATTTGAATTTTCCGCCAAAACAAAAACTTTGTTACTTAAATTTGAACTTTCCGCCAAAACAAAAACTTTGTTTAGTTTTCGTAATTTTACTTTTGAAAGTTAATTCTTAGTTAGTTAACTTTATTTTTCAACTGCATTTTAAATAGCATTTTCATTAGTAGTTGACAGTCAAACTTCGCATTTTACTTTTATTTTTGTATTTTTAAATTATAAAATAATTTCAAAAACTTATTTAAAGGATTTTCCAACTTCCATGTGGGATCGATATCTAAGACTGCATTAGAGTCATTTATTACTTGAGTGATGCATATACTTGCATTAATTTTGACGGGGATTTGACAGTTTAAAAAGAGTTTTAAAACATAAACTATTTTCTTAAAAGGTATTTTTGTTGGGATTATATTACATATTTATTATATATCTGTCGTATGTAATTTTGTAATATTGAAAAATATTTACGAAATTTACACATTAAAATACATCATTATCCATTCTATTTCTCATGGAAACAAAAAATTGAAAGCAGTAAACAACAAACTTCATAAATTGCATAAAACCGTTACAAACCCAATACATACCTAGTATGTTATTACAAATAACTATTTGAGACCACATTTAGACATCACAATTTCCCAAATGAAAACATTTGAAGACATCAACACAATTCTGAAACTCTAGCCATAAGCTTACAAGACTTCCACTAACAGCTAGCTTGAATACTGTTCTATTGCTAAAGTGGTATATCAGATCATCATCCACATAATCTTCATCTACCATGAAATACATAGATTTAAAATCAATATTTCCTTCTTTTTGTTGAAGAAATTATTTACTTATCTAATCTTTCAACATCAGATTAATGCATACTTAATACAGCACTTTCATGAACAGCCTGAAAATTACTTCACTTGCAGCCGACCGTTGGTCTCCTTTGTGATAGCTGCAATACGTATTTCCTTTGTTGAAGAAATTATTTACTTATCTAAACTTTCAGCATCAGATTAATGCATACTTAATACAGCACTTTCATGAACAGCCTGAAAATTACTTCACTTGCAGCCGACCGTTGGTCTCCTTTGTGATAGCTGCAATACAACTCGAAGTCCTCATGATCCCTCCCTTATTCATCTTCTCTGTTGAATCCCCTGTTAAATTTGGATCCCTTGCTCTGGAAGAACACCTCCTCAACATCTCTCTCATGGCTTCCGCTTGATACAGCACAGGCTGCTTTCTCCCAATGTTGTTAAACTTAGAGCAAACGCTCATATGCGCATGAAGAGCTTCTTCTTTATTCCCTCCCATCTTCTCCATCTCCTCCTTCACCGCCTCGCAACAGAGCCCACAAATCCAATGCCCGCTAAACTTCTCTCTAACTCCTTTGATGTAAGCCTTTGTGAACTCCTCCGACATGCAGCAGCACTCGCATTTGGCGTTCTCTACTTCGGATGTTTGCGGAAGCTTTCGGATGACTTCATTGCTTTTTCTGCTGAGCTGCAATGAAAGGTCAGACTTTGCACTGGAAAGCATGCCTCCCTGTGCTTTCTTCCTGCCGCTGAATCTTTTGGAGAGCGCGCCGAGGCCAGCCCTGCAGACAGAAACGTCTCCTTTTGTTGCCATTGCGTTTTGCTAATAAGTATTTATGATCAATGCGCAGAAGGTGTGTTGTGAGTGATAAGTGGAGGAGGGAGCATTAGGGTTTATTTATAGGCCTGCTAGGGTTTGTAGTTTGAGCATTCATGTGTGGACCACCAAAAAGTTAATAGGTGGGGAAATGTTAGAGAAATTTTGGGGCAAATAAATACAAATTCATAAGAGATTTAATGATGTTCGGCAAAGATGTCTATGTCCTAAGGAGTAGAGCGGCGGCTTTCTTTTAACTCCAGAAAAAAGTTACAGGATACAGAATAGAATAATCTATGGTTACAAACATGTCTATATATAACCGTAGAGAAAACTTTGAGTACAATATGTGTTTCTCAAATTACCCCTATACCGTATTCGGGGCGTTGCCCCCGCACCCTAAACCCATATAACGAAACTCCCCCGATTTGGATAGATTCTTTAGCACCGCTCCAACATCTGACCCATATATGGTATATGAGTCATACCTAACAAGATAGGTTTGTAAATTTAGCTCCAAGGAAGGTGCTCGAAAACTTATTTTAATTCTAACTCTATTTGGTGAGTCAAAATTTTAGATCTAATTTTTCTTCGAGCGAATTTCAAGCTGACCCTAGCTCATCTCAAAATTGGATCTTTCACAGCCCTAATGATGTTAGAATAATGAGTTTTAACAATTTAGCTTGAAAATTATTAATCGCTCAAAAATTGATTCGAATTTTGACTCGTAGAGATCGAATCAAAACAAACATAAACAAGATGCCTTACGTGGTAAAGATTTGGATCAGATTTTCTTTTAAGCCGACCCAGCTCGCCCATGAAATTGAATCATTAACAACGCTAGCTGCAAACTTCGAGTCAAAATTTTGGATCTAATTTTTCTTCGAGCAAATTTCAAGCCGACCCTAGCTCGTCTCAAAATTAGATCTTTCACAGCCCTAATGATATTAGAATAATGAGTTTTACGAATTTAGCTCGAAGATTATTAATCGCTCAAAAATTGATTCGAATTTTGACTCGGATAGAGATCGAATCAAAACAAACATAAATGAGATGCCTTACATGATGAAGTTTTGGATCAAATTTTCTTTTAAACCGACCCAACTCGCCCTTGAAATTGAATCATTAACAACGCTAGCTGCAAACTTCCCACACATAAATTTTATTATATTTTGATTGTATTCACTGTCTTAATACAATCAATATAATCAAAATACAATAAAATCAACGTATAAGTAATCCACAGCTACTAATTCCTTGAGGACCGCAGGTTTATGCATGTGGTGGAAAGAAGAAGTACAGTGATTTTCGTGAAGGCATTAATGGTGATAGATATAGAGCCCACCTTGGTGTACTAAAATGAGTGGCGTCAGAAACTATGGTGAAAGATGGCTGTGATGGTGCTTCCAGTTCATGAGGATGGATGGCTGTGGGTGGTGAAGGCAACGCAGCCATGATCAACAGCCACAGATTGTTGTTAGGCAAGTTGTGTCAGATGGCAAACCTACACGTGAACTTTGATATGGCTGATTCTAATTAATGCGCAGATGTTCGGCTCATTTTGATTCGAAATACTACTAATCAATTATATATATGTGTGTGTGTGTGTATATATATATTGATGAGTAGTATTTTTAAAAAATTTAATTGACTACTAGGCTACAAAGATTTATAGTCAATTAAAATTATTAATTTAAAAAATAGAATAAAAATATATTGAATTAAATTTAAAAGAAGTTTTAATATAAATAATAAGATTTAAATTTGGCCCCAACCCATATCATCCTACGACTGTGTGATTAAGGTTTGAACTCGCTCGTGTGCGGCTTATTTACACCCCCTAGATACAAAATAACTGGTTGAGGTTACTATTCTGCCGATGAAAGCAAGCATCATAATTCACGTGCAGAGCTGGTCCGCCAAGCATGCGGAACTCCCGTGTCAGACGAATGCATCGCACGTGCAGTATTGTTCTGCATCTCTGTTTGTCTGCCTTTCACAACTGTAAAATGCAATTTGTTATAGCTTGCCAGGTGCAATTTGAACCACGCTAAATTGTGCTGAAATGCAAAAAAGATAAGTTTCTGATATTCATTTGCAAAGCTTCCATGGAAAAAGGGGAGCTTATTTCTGTGATAGGAAGGCAAAAAGTGTGTTCTTATTAAGGCCGTATGTTTAGCGAGCAGAACACGAATTATTTACGAATAAATAATCATTTTGACAACTCTAAATATACAGTTGTAGGATGTTAAAGATTTGGGTAAAATTTAACTCTTATTGTTTATATTAAAATATCATTAAAATATAATTTAATATATTTTTATTCAATTTTTTAATTAAAAATTTTAATTAATTATAAATTAGCCTTCTGATAAATTAATTTTTTTTTTAAATATTGTTCATCAATATATATATAGATAATTGATGAGTTGTATTTCTAGTCAAAATTAGTTGAACATGAACAAACAAATCTTTGCTTGTGTTTAGTTCGTTTATATATCGATCACAAAAAAAATAATCGTGTTCGGCTCATTAACTTAGCGAATGAATCAAACACGAGCTGTTCGTGAACAACGGACCGTTTTGACAGCCGTAGATGTAATCTCTTCAGCAATGGAAGCACAACATATCAAAAGAAGAATTAAAAAAAAAAAAAGGCTGTTTTGAAATTTCTTCAATAAGAATGATATATTTGGAAAAAAAATAAAAAAAAGGTAAAACTGGTATAATAAAATTTATTGCTTTTTAATTATTTTTAAAAATAAAAAGTATAAAAAAAACGATTTTGTTTATTTCAACCAAAAAACGTAGTATTTTTTTTATATTTTTTAGGAAAGTTAACATTAAGTACGATCCATGCATGTTTTTAATTAAGTAATTTAGAAATTCAGTCTAAAATTGCTAATTAGTTGTAAGAGAAATTTAATTTATAATTTTGTAGACTTATTTTATTAATAATATGCCATTTAATTAGTTAATTACATGCATAAATTAGAAAAAAAAATTATTCTGATATATGTGCTAAATTAAATTTATTTTATATTTATTTTATTACAAATATGTCCTTTAACTAGTTATAAGGAAGCTAGCCAAAAAAGTTACCAACTCTCAAGCCATTTTTGCTCTTCTCGGCTATGACAAATACGTCACAAACAGAAATAACCAATTATAGAGGGTTTTAAGACAAAAATATAACCGGTCAGGTCGTGATACTAACCAAAAATCTTATGTGTTAAATAATGATTAATTAAAAACAATAATACATTCAAGTGTTCTTTACTTTTAAATTAGTTTTTATAAGCTGTGTGCGCATTTAAAAAAATCATGCCATATGAAAATTTTCTAGAGTTATTTATTTTGAATTCACCCAAATCCGGGAATTGTTGAAGCCATGATCTCATTACATTGACCTTCCTTACTCTATCCTCATCATTAAAGTAATCACAATTGTTAGGGTTCTTGCATCACTGTGATTGTATAACCCTAAGTTAGCTTGCTAAGTTGGCATGCTAAGTTACCCTACTAATCCGCTAAGTACCGGCCTCCACTCAGCTCAGGTGACGAAGCTCTCCTCGCAAAGAGTTTTCCGGCGCCGGAGAAACACCACACTTTGCTCTTCGTCTCTGTTTCTCGGACCAAGACGGTGACTAAGAAAGAAAATACAAGAGGAAGAAGAAGGAAAGAAAATGAAGAAGAGGAAGAAGAATAATGGAGAAGCCAACTTTCTGAAACTCTCCAAACACTCCTAATAGCTCCTCAGGTTCTCCGTCTCACCCCTCAGTTTCTCCAACCATAACCGTGATCGAGAAAGAAAATGTGAGAGGAAGAAGAAAGAAACAAAGAAGAGAAAGAAAAAGAAGTGTGAAGAAGCTCTCCAAAACTCTCCCCTAACTCTTTGTAATCGTTCATGGCTCTCCCCAAATGAAATGCGCGGGATCCTTCCAATTCTCCCCCGCATGAAGGATATTCTTTGGGTGGAAAGATTTGTATGACCACTCACCTCTTTTAGCAATAACCCAGATTAGCTCAGAGGCTATTTTTGGCCTAGGTCCGTCCAATGGCTTATCTCGGTGGTCGGAAGGCGTCCTGTTGAGAATTTTAGGGCAAAGAAACACAAGAATCGACACAAATCCAGAAACAAAACACATAGATTAAATGAGGTTCGACAAGATGCCTACGTCCCCGGGAGCAGAGCAGCGACTTTGCTTTGCTCATCTCAAACCTGTCTAGCACTTTCTCAATATAGCCTCGTTGAGATAAACATAATCTTATTGAGTCTCTATCTCGATGAATCTTCATTCCAATAATTTTCTTTATAGGACCCGTCTTTTATGTCAAATTCCTGGCTCAATAAAACTTTCAAACCAAGGACACCATACATATTTTTTGCAGCAATCAGGATATCATCAACATATAGTAACAAAAAAAATAAGAGAACCATCATCAAGACTCTCAACATAGACACAACAATCATACTTTCATCACTTGTAGCCAATCTGAATCATGTAGGAGTCGAACCACTTGTACCATTGTCTTAGAAACTTTTTCAACCTAAACAACGATTTCTTTAATCTACAAACCGGATTCTTCTATCCAGGTTGAGTGAACACTTTTGGCTGCTCCATGTAAATCTGCTCATCTAGATCATCATGAAAGAATGCAGTTTTAGCATTCATCTGCTCCAGATGCAAATCTCAAATTGTTACTGATGCAAACACTGCCCTGATTGAAGTATGTCTGATCATAGGAGAAAATATTTCATCACAATCTATCATCTTTTGCAGTGAAAAACCCTTTGCTACTAATCGAGCCTTAAACTTTTTTCTTTCTTTTTTTGATACTGTTGATTTTCTTTTGTACACTCATTTGCACCCAATAGTCTTCTTTCCCTCAGGAAACTGAACTATCTCCCATGTGTGATTTTTCTGCAAAGAATCTATCTCCTCGACCATTGCACCCATCAATTTCTCTTTCTTCTGGCCGGCGATAGCTCCTTGAAAAGTGGTTGAATCATCACTGCTGATGAGAAGTGCACAAGAGACCAAATATTGATAACCCAATATGCTTGGAGGCCTTACATTAGTGCATCTTTGCCTATCTCTTGCTAAATTGTAATTTTTTAAGTCATCTATATTGAAATCACCAGGTGCTGGATTTGAACTTTCAACTCTCTCAGTTGTTTTTGGATGTTGTACTAAATCCATTTGCACTGTATCTGAACTGGAACTATTCTCTGACACCTTGTATTGATTTTGCTGCAGCATGGACTGCTCATAAAAAATGACATCCTACTGATCATCAACATCTTTGCAATAAGATCCCAAAACTTGTATCATTTGACACTTTTCTTGTAGCCCAGCAAGAAGCACTTCATGGATTTTAGATCAAGTTTTGATCTTTCATCTCAAGGTACATGCACATAAACATGACAACCAAAAATTTGTGAGTGATCAAACTTAACTGGATTACCTGCCCAAACCTCTTATGCAACTTTGCCGCCCAATGATGCCCGATGTGATCTATTGACGAGGTAGCATGTCATACTCACAGTCTCTGCCAAGAAATTTTTAGAAAGTCTTGCATTCAGTCTCAAGCATATTGCCCTTTCAGTTAATGATATGTTCATGATTTCTATAACGTCACAAAAATACAACGATCCTCCTAATGACGATTCTCTGGTAGGACCTCATACATCAAAATACACATAATCAAGAATCCCTTCAGTTTTATACTTTATACTCATGAAACTGACTCTAGTTTGTTTTCCAAGAGCACAAAACTTACAAAAATTGAGCTTGCAACTTTTCACACCTGCAATAGATTTCTTTTATGTAATTCTGTCATCCCACGTCACTAAGATGACCAAGACGCATGAGTCATAATTTTATATTGTCACCATCTGACACCACAAAATGAACTCCATCAACAACAGTACTCCCCAATAGTTTGTAGATATTTCCTGCAGTTAACTTTCCGTTTATCACAGTAAGCGCAGCCTTAAGAATTCTGATGGTTTCCCTATCCACATCTATTTTAGGAATAAAATCATTTCTATGTAAAGTGTCAAATGAAATCAAATTCTTCTTCAAATCTGGAATATGTCTGACATCACAGAATGTTCAAACAGTGTCATCATATATTTTAATCCTGACTACACCAATATAAATAATATTGCAACATCTATCATCATCTAAATAGAAAGAGTCAAAATTAAATGACTTGTATGAAGTAAACCACTCATTGTTAGGTGTTATGTGATAAGAACATCCTGAATCAAGAATCCATACATCCATGAACTGAGTTGATGAAACTGAAAGCATATCACAATCACTGCAATCTGAATTGTCACTCTGCACCAGATTTACAGACTTCGATGAAACATCACGTTTTTCATTAGTCTACTTCTTGAGCTTTGGACAATCTCTCTTCATATGACCTGACTCCTTGCACTTGTAGCAATAAATCGTCTTTCGGTCTTTGGACTTTGATATGGAATTACATTTTCCATTACCCTCTTTCTCTTGCTTCCTTTCACGATCTCAATTACCTTTAACATATAAACTATCACCATGAGAGATTTTCCCTGCATTCTGCTTCTGCTGGTTGTGTGCCAACAATGTTGCAATAATCTCATCAACTATGATTGTTTCTTTCTCATATGTAAAAGTAGTCACCAGGTATTCATAAGAGGAAGACAATGAACACAACATAATCATTACTCGGGCTTTATCATCAATACTCACATCAAGTCGTGATAAATTTGTGATTATTTAATTTAAGACATTCACATGATGCGCCAGATCAGAGCCTTCTTACATCTTTAGCTCATACAACTTTTGCTTCAGATACAATTTATTTGTTAAAGATTTGGACATAAACTGATTTTTCAATTTCTTCCATATCTCTCCTGGAGATTTTAGATTCTTTACGTGAAACATAACCTTATCTATCATACATAAAAGTATGGTGTTGTTGTCGCTCGTTGCTGCAATTCTTCCCAATCTTCATCCTCGGTTTCTGATTTTGTTGTTCGCAAAGCCTTCAAGATCCATTGTTGTGTCAACAAATCTTTCACTCTTGATTATCACAATCCGAAGTTACTAGTTCCATTAAACTTCACCACTTCGAATTTTGCACCGGATATTGTCATAAGAAATTACTCCTGTCATGAGCTTTTTCTAAGAATTCCTCTGCCTCATTTGCCAAATTGCTCGCTCAAATTCCTTCGTACAAAATCCTTCGCCGAACAATCGCGTGGTCGCCGAACTGAACCTGCACTGAAAAATCTCGTCCTGGTCGTCTGAAGCCCTTGTCTTCGACTTTTGTGCATGGAACCGATGGATTATTCTGCCAAATCGTTGAATTCTTCTTCCTTCCTGCGCTGATCTCTTCTGCCTTAAAATCTCACTCTGATACCACTTGTTGAGAATTTTAGAGCAAAGAAATGCAAGAATAGACACAAATCCAGAAAGAAAAAACAGAGATTTAACGATGTTCGAAAAATATGCCTACATCATCGGAAGCAGAGCGACGACTTTTCCTTCAATTCAGAAAAAAGAGTACAAGATCTCATTAGGGTTACAATAATATATATATATATATATAACCCCGACGTACAATATGTAATTACAAAATTACCATTGTACCCTACCACAGAGGCGTTGCTCCCGCACCCTCAACCCACATAACGAAACTCCCCCGATTGGACAAATACTTCCGCTCCACTCCGCTCCAGCATCTCTCCCTTTTCTGGTATATGAGTCATACCTAACACGTCCAGACAGAAAAATAGGGACTAGACAATAAAGTTAATCAAAACAAACTGAATGCGCGACGTGGCCATGCCTCAAATGGGGTGTGACCCCTCCCGGGGTGGTCACGCCCCTATGTGGGTGCGGTCACACCCCATATGGCATGGTCATGACTACCCCATTTTGGTTTATTTCTTTGTTCTGGTGATTTAGGCCACATGACAAGACTTGGATGGACCTCCCTAAGCGAAAATGACGTTCTAGACGTATCCGCACAGTTCGTTCCTCCATACGAAGTCATATGAAGGATAAATTCTCACGAGCAAGCCAATTTAGGGCCTGATTTGTTCGCATTGCACCAAACAAAACTCGTCCGATCGGGGCCGACCATCAATGTAATGTCAACAGGCCCTCACCTTACAGAAAAATAGATTATAATGCTTTTAAGGGTCAACTTACAACACACACACGCACACAAACACACACATCCAACACCTTCTTTTATCTATTTTTCAAATTCACTCCAATTTCAAAATTCTTTATAATTCCTCAACTCATATATTTTCATTTTTTATCAATTTCTCAATAACTTGATGGTGGCACACATAAATACATAATCCTATTGTTTAGATGTTAATTTTATAAATTGACATAATTACGTACGACTCACCTGAAACATCAAAATTTACAAATTAACTACCCGTAATTTTTTTTGAACAACGAAACCAATATATTCACGCCCCTCACGATCAAACTATTAAGAATTTGATAAAAATGAAAAATATGAATTAACATTTTACCATGTATTTTGAAATATGAGTGAAAAAGAGTGTGGTAAATTTGTAAATAGCAAGATTCGGGTGGTTTGTATGTAATTGATATTTTTAAGTGTTGTGCTGCATATCCCCAGTTAAAATACACTGATTGCGAAGTCAACATTAGAAAGAGAGCGAGGTGAGCAGGAAGCATTCTCTACAGAACAAGCAGTGGGCTGTGCCGCTGGTTTGTGGGGCAGCCATGCCCGCTGAAGCAAATGGGTTGGTCCTAAACTGCATCAGTATCTCAGATCCTGACATCCAGAGATCCACTTCCCTCCTCAAGCAAGTCAGTTTTCCCTCTGATCACTCTGCTCTCGTCCTCTCCTGAAATCATGGTTTTGGCTAATTGGTTGTCGCCCGAACCTAAACTTCTTCATATTTTACTGATTTTCTCGTTGCTTGCATTTCTATTTTAGGTTTTTTTTTTTAATCTGTTTGAGGTTTTATAATTCAAAGCCAAAGTTTTTCGGTTATTTCATTCATTAATTTTGTTGGATTCGGATATGATCTTTGTGTGACAGCAAGGACTCTCACCCGTACCCATCAAGGTGTCCACTTTGGCCTAATTGCCTCATGGTTTTACACCGTCCGTGTAACTTCCGAGGAGGTCACCCATGCTAGGATTAGTCCAGCATAGGCATGTTTAACTTTAGAGTTTCTAATGAAATTTCACAATTACATCAAAGGCGTCTCGATGTTTAAGAGTTCGACTTCATTATAATCTTACTCACTTAAGTAGGTGACATTCTCGTCAATTTTCTTACCTTGGAGTCATCCATACCAAGTAGATAGGATTCTAGAGGTGGTTATACAGATTTAAGAGGTGGCTCCCACCATATAGCACTTTGTCCCATTCAGGGTTCAAGAGGTGGCTCCCATGACGTAGCCCATGACGTAGCACTTCGTTTCTGTTCTGTATAAGATTTAGTACTTTAACTCATTTGACATATTTAAGGTTGAAGTTGTGCAATGCTAGTTTAGGATTTTTCTTCATAATACCAAGTTTTTCTTTTCAATAATAATGCGGGGCTTTTGATTTTTTATTTTGTGAATTTAATTATATTATGGTGTTATTTACTTAAAATCATTTATATGATAGTGCGGGCATAATTAGCAAATAGTTTGAGGGAACCAATTACTAGATGTCAATATTCATGGTCATCCTACAAGGAAAAGAATTGGCTCAGCATATTCATCAAATTTTCAGCCAGGACGAGTTTCAAAGTTATTAAACTGACGTTGAGTTTAACATAATACAGATTCTAATTGATGTTTTATGTACTACATTGATCTCAAAGTCAATCCAACAACATTGAGACCCATCCTGAATAAATTTAGCTAAGCATTAGTATATCTGTCCCAAATATTTTTCATCCTATTATGGCGCTGTTTGACTACCATTAAGTTTTGGTAAATATTTTAAACGTAGAGAGACTTAAATCCTAAGAACTATTTGGCATGAATCTCACCAATAGGTCTCATTAAATTTGATGAATTATTTGAGTTTATATATCAGCATTTATAATTTAAATGAATATGAGATCCAAACCATTTACCACAGAGAGTGAAAATTTACTAAATCCTTCTTGCTCTATGATTTAAAAAATCCTTTTAAATCCTAAAGCAACACGAAGATAAAATTTAGCTAACTCCCAGATGATACCTCAAAAATACTATCTTGGGCACTGGTAGTTGTACTTATAAATTCATTCTCTTGTTCTTTGGTTTTAAATGTGGCATTAAATATTTTTGGCAATTAGTTCTGTTATTTATTTGTGGTAAGTATTTATGGGCATTATCACAAAGGGAAATATGATAACAGATTAAAGTAAGTTATTATGAGGCGATATTTTAAGGAAAGTACCGATGATCTTGTAATTAGAGGTGAATATTAATATTTTAAGATTGTGGTTGAGTCAAATACTTTGTGATTTATTATTGTTCATTATGTAAAAAAAATGCTTGCATGATAGTTCTTTGCATAGGCAAAAAAGGTTGGGGGAAAAATACAACAACAACAAAACCTTAATCCCACTATGTGGGGTCGGCTACATGAATCCTTTTTCTCTATTGCGTCCTATTTAGTGTCATATTTTCATTTAGTTCTAGTAAATTAAGATCGTTTTTAATACAATAAGCCCAAGTCTTCCTAGGTCTACCTCTTCCTTTCTTAGCACAAGTCGAATCTAAAACATCTACTCTCCTAATCGGATTATTAGATGGTCGACGTTTAATGTGACTAAACCATCTAAGACGACTTTCTCTAATTCTATTCGTCACAGGAGCTACACCAACCCTATCACGGATATATTCATTTCACATTTTGTCTCTAAGTGTAAAGCCACACATCCACCTAATATATTCAATATTGCCATACTTGTCTCTTTTATACCTGATGAGTGGTTGTATTCTATTGGTGCCTAACAACACCGTTATTTTATTAAATGTTTGTTTCAGGCATGCCTAGATTCTGGATTTTTCTATGTAATTGATCATGGAATTAGCGAAGAATTCATGAATGAGGTTTTCTTCCAGAGTAGAAGCTTTTTTGATCTCCCATTCAAGAAAAAAATGGAGTTGCTTCGCAATGAAAAGAATCGAGGTTATACACCCACACTAGATGAGACTTTGGATCCCGAAAATCAAGCGCAAGGTTTGTTTCCCAACATTAGCTTTGCTTCATATTGATTTCAATTTTAGGAAATTATACCTATTGAACCATAAATTGGCTCTCTGAATGAAAATTTGTCGCTTAGTTGTGTCTAGTGCACAACACAATTTTAACACCATTATGTCACGATATGATATTAGCCCGCATCCTACCTGACTTTCCAAATGGCATTATAATTGATGGACTTTCTAAGAATACCATGCATTGTTTCTTTGGAGTTTTGAGGTGGTTGGATTTTTGAAAGTGCACTCCATATTGCCTTCTTCTAAAAAGTATGATAAATAAGTGGCACTTAAAACAGTATTTTACTAGATATGCATGCTTCTTTATACTATGTTATTTTTTTCAATCCTTTGGAGAAAGATTTATCTTCAAACATATTTAAATCTTTCAATGAGGAATGACAACTTACCTTTATGTAAACTATTTAGCTTGTTATTTTCTGTACCACAAGCAAAAAAAACCTGTTGCATTTTGATGGTTAATGATACATATCACTACTCACCTATATTTCATGAGAATTATATTTTTCTTTTGAGACTTACATGATAGTTTTCAAACTTTTCATGGGAATGATTTGACAATAAATTAGATTTGTATGTCCCATTTATATTGTAGGTATGTAAATCCCATATTATGATTGGATGTACTCATAATTTATAGTGAACGCCATTAATTCTTCTTATGATGGAAATTTTAGTTTTCCAGCTTAAAATATGTGAATATGGAACATAATTTATTTGCTATTCCACCCTATAGTTTGATAAATGGGAATTATGATAGTGTAGGTAAGGTTCGAATTCAAGATCTAAGCAGGTTGCTTTGACGGTTCTTACTAACCAAAGTATTTGGCACTCAGTTAATTGATAGCATACTTATTAAGGAAAAAGTTATCCAGAATCAAACGCAATTTTTCAATGCAAAATACTTGTGTGGTCTAAAAAATGATTAATCCACTTAGCTTCGTTTATGGATAGAAATTTATTCCAAATATTTATTAGCTCAATGTAGAGCATAAGGCTAGTTAAAATTAAATCGGCATGAGGCCATTTATAAATTAGCGGGCACATGACTAGTGACATATCAAAATCTTCCAAGGAGCTGATGAATAATTAATTTAAAGAATGTTGCAGGCCAAGTATGAACCTGTGGCCTCTACATAGGAACCGAAGAAAATGCTGCTTGAGCTGGCTCTTTAGTATTCATCCAATTTGCCTAATATGCAAGATCTAGCATTTTAAAAATGTTTTTTTTTTAATTTAGAGATTTTGATTGAAATTAATCTCATTTTACTTAACCAAAAGAAATACATTATTTGGAGTCTATAACTTTAAATTTGCTAGGTTATATCTTGATAAATTAATGTCTCATTTATATACATATGTTTTAAAAATATGGAAGAAAATATTATTTTTTTGTGTTTATTTATTAGATTTTTTTCATGAAAAATTATAAAATAAGTTTTTAAAAATAAAAAATATAATGGCATTATAAATCTGTATCAAATATGACTAATTTATAGTCTTAAATGCAAATCAGAAGAATTTATTTCATGATTTTGATTTCAAAAATAATATGTCCCCAAAGCAAAAAGGTTGAAAGACTAATAATGATTTCTTCAAAGTTTAATGTCACTCTAAAAATATCTATTAGTTTAATCATATTTGACCAGATATCAGCCTTTTGAATTTATACTCTTATATTTTTTAGATTTAAAAATTTAGAATGAGAAGGAAAATATTTCATCTAAGAATTTAAAGCTTTTGAATTTTTGAATAAGATGTCATTCTCATTGCCTAATCTCTTTTTCATTTTTTTTTCGTCAATTCTTTATTATAAAATGGATAGGTATGCATATAGTCTTATATGCAACAACGAGGAATTTAAAAGTCAAATATGCCCCCAAAACAAGCAAAAAAATAATTGACAAAATGATAACAATATCCTTTTCAAAATTCAATGTATTTTTTTTTTAAATTTAGATAGAGAGGAAATGATCTTGTCCAGATTTTGCAATCTTAAAGTCTTTCATAATTTCTAAAATTTTAAAACTTCAAAGTAGAAGAGAGCACCTTTCAATATGGAGCCTTTTTAGAGTAAATCTATATATATTTTTTTAACTTCTCTTTTCTCAACTTTTACTATATCATATGTAATATTGATGTCATATTGGGTTTTTGGTTCCTTTGAAATTAAAAGTAATTGAATTTCATTAGATAACGTGAATAAGTGCAATTTATTAATTTACAATCCCATTTTCAACTCTAGGGAAAAATGCAATGAAATTTATTGGGTCATTTTTATGACTCACATGTGTCCTCATCATAAGGGACAACTCAATTTCTGATCCAACAAATAATGATGATAAAAACTGTCGCTTAATTTCTTCTCAATGAATAAAATTGATGAAAAATAATGTCAATTCAATTCTTTTACCCTTTATATTTTCTTTTATTTCCTTCTTTAATTTTTGCGGACCAAACTAATACTTTATATTTTAACAGAGAAATGACAAAAGACGACAACAAAAAAAGAAAATTCGTTATAGCTTCACACTTGTAGTATATAATAGGAAGTTAAATAAAAGCAACGTAAATAGAGACATTCTTTTAGCAAATGAGATAAAGCAGGGAATGTGCTTTCCTATATGATTTTCCTTGGGCATTATCATGGTGCTACTAAGGAACTCTTCTTGTCATCCATTTTAATTAATTTCATCTTCCATCATTACATAATCAATTTTAGATATTTCCTCTGATAATCCCCCATTGGATCCATAGTTAACTTATTTACTTTGAAGTTGCTTGAATATTTCCTTGTGTGACTATTGTTTTATATAGTTTTTTGAATGGTAAAATGTGATATTTTTTTATATTCTAGGTGATTTCAAAGAAGGATATTACATAGGTATTGAAGTACCTGAAGATGACCCTCAAGCGGAGAAACCCTTTTATGGTCCAAATCAATGGCCTTCAGAAGGTTAAGTACCGTATCATGTTTCCTAATTTTTCTGTTTCGTAGGCATTTCCTTAGTTTCCCCTAACTTATTAGCCTTTTATTGCCGACTTCTTGAAGTGAATGTCCAAACTTGATTGACTAGAGATCTGAAAATTACTTAAATAGGTTTTTTTTTATCTTTGTCAATTTTTTTTTTTATGCCCATGTTTTTTAAATAATAGTTGTCAGTCAAGTAGCATAGGAAAACTATATACATTATTTTTAATCTAAAACTATTTCTAAATATTTTGACATAGTATCACTTTATTAAACTGGTAAGTCATGGCGTCTATTAATTGGCATGCTCATTAACATCCCTTAATTGCTATGTGGATCTTGGTGTAATTTTGGTAATATTTTAATTGTTGTTGTGTTTCTAAATAAAGACTTACCTTAAATATATTAAATATTTTTAGTTTGTGGACCTTTGGTTTACCTGCATGATCGCTATGCATTTTGCTACAAATGCCAAATTGCAATAGGAATCATTGAGTTCAAATTTCTTTAAAAGTTAGATTCAAATATTTTCAGTTTCTAAATTTTACCTTTTCTTTATGGTTTTTTTGAAGATATTTTACCTGGCTGGAGGCAGATTATGGAGCAGTACCAAATAGAGGCCTTGTAATGCATCTTTTACTTTCTATTATTAAATTTTTTATTTAGTAGACTTACCAACTAAATTATTATTAATCTTTAAAACTACATGTTGAATGATAGTCGACCATCCACTAAACATATATGAGTACTTTTGTTTCATTCAGATCAATGTGCCTTGTCATCCTAACCAATTCTCATTAAATTTGTTTTTAAAGCCTTACTAATTTATCTCTGAAAATAACATCTTATGATTGCTTGTATAATTTTTTTTTAACAAATCTATTTTTGATATTTACCCATTTGAACAATCTTTCTAGTGCAAGTGATGGCAATGTCTCGATGTCTTGATTTTTTATGTCTATCTAATACAAGAAGTACAAAAGTTATATAGCTCATAGAAAACGTCAATGGTACCAAACTCTTAATCTTATTAAATATGCAATACTTAAGATAATAATTTAAAATACTTAAAATTTCAACACAATTATCACTTCAATGGTCCTATATTTGAATAATACATAATGTTTGAAACCTTGTGAACCCTACAAAAAACTATAAACTCATATAAATCTAGATTGTATCTAGCCTGAACAAATCCAATAATATATGCAAATAACTAACAAGATTTGTACAAAGCAACAAAAATTGTAGGAAAATGTTGCATGCTAGCATATTCGATGTTTTAAAGAGAATGTTTAACATCTTAACTTTGCATTAAGATTTATCTTACACATAAATAATAAAAATATTGCAAGAGGCATGCAAATGCTTATGTAAAAAAATTCAGAAAGAGCCATATTATTGGGTCTAGCCTAGTTGAAATGATTCCACTACGAGTACAAATGATGTCATGCCCTGTAATTAGAAACGTGTTAAAATGTGTTGATATAATAGAAGATAGATTATATGATGGATGTTAGAAGAACTTTTAAGGCATTGGAGTTGACTGCAAGAGTTTGATTGTGACCAGGGAGCAGGAAGTCCACTATAATATTGGCTTTGATGTCTCAAGTTCGAGTTAATTATTGTTAATGCATCGTCTTTAATGGTGAAGAAATATGATGGTGTTCTTGGCGATAACGGTTAACAAATTTGGTAGTCATTGATATTAGTTTCAATGATGTGTATAAACTTTATAAGTGATGGCATATGTGTAAGGTGTGTGTTGGCTTTATAGGTGATGGCAAGTAGCGAAGTTGGCCAGTACCCACGTAGTCAGATGATAGTTGTTGGAAAACTATAGTCGAGCCACCGTTATTGAGAGCTACAATCAAGCAATGGTCAGGAAACTATAGTCAGACGATAATGGTTATGAAATCATAATTTGACTATGATGGCTGAGAAATCATAATTAGGAGATTATGGTCAGATGATCATAGTCTAGAATAGTATTGTACCCTCACAATCAAGCAATGGTGGTTAAGCGATAGCTGTCTGACGATGAAAGTTGGGTGGTGACAGTTTGACAGTAATGATTAAGCAGCTATGGTTTGATGACAACTATGAAGCAGTGCTAGTGGTTGCGTGTTGGCATTACAACAATGGTGATTGGGTAATAGCTTTTTGATGGAGAATGTCGAAAATAATGATTCAATGTCAAAGGTCGGGTGACTGTAGTTTGATAGTGAAAATCAATAGCCATGGTCCAATGAGGGGGGACTAGCAGTGAGTTTGTTGGGGGAATATGACGGCGGTGGTTTGATGACAACAATAGTTTAATTGTAACGATTTGATGGTAATGGTCCAACAATGATGGTTAGGTGATGATAGTTTAATGATGGATGTCTGGCGATAGTGGTCCGACAGTCATGGTCAAGCCATGATCTGGCAATAGTGCTCAAGTAGAGCCCTAGAATTCTTTAGAATTTTAAGCTTTATTCAAAACTTTATATCTCTTACAGAGAATGAGAATTTATTTATAATTATTGGTACTGACATTTTCTATAATTGTAGGTAAAAATCAAAGCACTTTATTAGAAGGCATGAAGTAATCCCCTTGATCATAAAGTATTTTTTGAGCGCTTAAATGCCTTCAGGATATTGAAATTTAGAAATCATTAGCTCATAGCATTTGTCTCATTGAGATGTTTGATTTGCTATGAAAATGCAAGATTTAATGATCATATGGTCATCCAATTAATACACCAAAGTTTGCAACTATGTTTAAAGTGCTTAATTCAGGCTCATTTGGAAATGGATCTGATCATTTCAAGCGTTGATGGTTTTATCTCATTGAGATGTTTATTTTGACTATAAATTTGTTGAAATTAGAGATTAGATGAAGCTAAATTTAATTCTTGAATTTTTAACCCAAACATTATTTGGATTTGTGCCTTATTAAATAGATTTTTTGGGTGACATCAATCATCCCTTATTTTCTCTAGGTTTTAAGAAATTCCATGGCATAGAATTAGAATTTTGAATATTGTACAAGGCATGAACATGCTGTAGGCATTAAATTGGACTTTCCCATTATCTGAAATTCGCTTGTCAATTTCAGTTAGAATTGTCAAAAAAATATTTGCTTTAAACTTTTTAAAATTTGCTTGAACTTAATTGTAGATGCTCTCTTGGCTTTGAATATACCGAAATTGATTTCAAAACAGCCAAAAATACTTTTAGACAACTCAAAAAATTCCAAAAACTTTTTAGTTGAGCCCAAAATTAGGCTTCGATGTGTGGATACCCACTTGGAGAGCCGATCGGCCATTCCCAGTCAACAATGGCTTGTTTGCTCAAGCACATACATTATGCACGCCCGCTCACTCTTATATAGCCATTCACATATTTACAACAATGAGTGATTTTTTTGTAATAAATTTCTTTTATAAGTATTTTCATCAATAAGAAAATTAAAAATCGTTAACATTTTTTGTGAGTTTCTCAATTTTTTAGATCTATAAATACCCCTTCTAGGGCTGGAGAGGGATACAGTTTTCCTCGCACACTTTAGTTTTTAATCATAAGGGGAAAAATACTATTTGACTAGTGTTTAATTGTTGGATATAATCAAGATTTTTTGTTAAAATTGTTGCTTGTTCTTGGTCGATAAATTGGATTTGGAGGTTAATTTTGTACTTTGTTTTGAGGCTCCAATCTTCTTTCTAAATGATTTTCCTTAAAGTTTGGCAAAAAAAAAAAAAAAAAAAAAGAGAAAATACATGGAGGATGGGGCCCCTACTAATCATAGAGAAAGTGATGCAGAGGTGCTGATGAAAATTTGGTTCTCCAAAAACACAAGAAATATATACAATATGCTAATTCTGTAATTTTGTAGCTGTTCTCGTGCTTGTTTTTGTACTTAGAATTTTAGTTTGATTTTTCTACTTGGTAATTGCTCACATTTTTATCTCTTTAAAAAAATTCACTACAAAATTTTGCTACTTTTATTTTTATATGTATCGATACTGAAATTATGATGTTTCTATCTCAGATGAACTTTTGCAATCTCATAAGTTTTCAGAAGTTACTACGATTTTCTGTCTTGAGCTACCTTCATAATTTTTTTTTATTTCGAAGTACTACCTTTTGGTATGGTAGAAAATTTATGAAAAACTTTATAAAATCTGTCACTTTGCTTAAATTTAGTTCAACAATAGTCCCATTCTCTATTGGTTTACGAATTTCTTACCTATCAATGGTAATGATCACTGAACTTTTACATCATTGTAAAATAAGATTCAAAATTCTTGTATCACAATGTTGCAAATACACCATAATACTATTTTAAAAACTCAAACATATTTTGAAGTGTTAATATAAATAATTATCTTATGTAATCTTATGGGTCTCTCTTTGGATATGAAATGCTTTTGTATTTTTTAAAAACATGTTTCGTAATGCTTTTGTAATTTATAAAAACATTTAATATATTAAGTACTTATAAAGTACTGATTTTAAAAATATTTTCAAATTAATTTCTTAAACGCATCTAGGAAAGTTTAAGCAAATGGTTTCCCATAGTTAATCTTTTACTTTAAATGTTTAGCCATCTTTTAATAGCTTTCACTTGCTTGCTTGTTATGGAGTTCATAAAATTTTGATATGTGTGGCTTTTACATATAAAATATACACACTCTAAAACATTTGAGAAGTCTAAGCGAATAGTTGAATCTAGACTCACGTTTGTACAAGAAGATAATCTCTTCTAAAAATTCTTAATTCTATAGTTTGAATAGGAATTGAATCCCAAATGCATGTTGAAGGATAACATATCCAACCAGAAATAAATTATTGTTAAGTCAAACTCTCCTATTTTTAACAAAGCCTTTTCAAAGAATTCCCTTATTGAGACCTAAAATTAGGAAGATACAAGCCCTAAATCTTGTAACAAAGAAAGCACAAGTTGCGGTCTCTCAACAAAAAGATCGATAACCTGATAGAAAGATTGATAATTTGAAGTATATTTGCAATTATAATTCTCACTTTCATAATCTTAGGGTCTGTTTAGGGCAGCTGCAACTTAATAATAAGCTGTAGCGCAGCTGCTGCCACAGAAAACTACTGCGGATAAGTTGGTTTTGTTGTTTTTTGCAGCTTGAAAACAATTTTATTGTAACTGTTTATGGACAAATGACCATTATGTCCCTCTTAGTAATGTTTTTTGTGACAAAATTATTACTACCAGTACATTCCATACTTGAGAGCAAATATTCAGTGCAAAATATTAAAAAATAAAGATAGACATCTCAATTAACAGTAACATGACTACCAAAATTAAGAAAATGTCTATTAAAATAATAATTTATAATATGATTATATTATTTTTAAAATGCAGACGATATATGTCACGAGATAAGTTGTGCTTCAGGGATACTCTCCACACCCGATTACTCTCGGCGGTCAATCTTCTAGCCCATTTGCCCACTGAAAATAGTCACAATTTTTTGTGATTCTTCGTGGGCTTTTGTAAAACTGTCTCCGTAGCTACGTGGCTGACGCGAAGTGAGCAGGGAACACCGAAGTCCGTAGTAAAAGTGCAATCCTCTGGAGGCACCAAAAATCCTTGAGCTAATCCTTTCTTA